AAAGGATGCGAAATGGGTTTTTAAGAGTTAGAGAACTGACTAGTATATGCACCAGTTCTCACTATACCAATCGCAAGAGAAGGTTTTATTGTTTATAGCGATGCCTCTCATAAAGGTTTAAGAGGTGTGCTAATGCAAAATGTAAAAGTAGTAGCTTATGGTTCTCGATAATTGAAACCTTATGAGCAAAATTTTCCTAACACATGATTTAGAGTTGGCGGCTGTTATTTTTGCTTTAAAAATTTGGAGGCATTATCTCTATGGAATGCATTGTGAAATTTATACCGGTCAAAAGAGTTTAAATATATTTTTACTCAAAAAGAGTTGAACGTGAGGCAAAGGAGATGGTTAGATCTACTTAAAGATTATGATATGATGTTAGTATTAATTATCACCTAGGGGAAGCAAATGTAATTGTTGACGCCCTTAGTTGGAAGAGTAATATAGCTTATCTCATTACTCGACAAAGGCATATATTAGAAGATTTGGATAAATTGAGAATTGATATCATGTGTCAACAATCACAGCCAAACTGAACAACATCGTACAACGTGCTTTAATTGATGAGATTAAGGTTACCCAAAAAGATGACTCGGAATTGAAAGTCATTCGAAAAGGAGTTGAAGATGGTAAACAACTAGATTTTGTAATACATGGTGATGAATCTCTTAGGTTCAAAAATTGACTCTGTGTTCCGAATAATCCAGATGAAGAAGAAGATTTTGAAGAGGCTCATAATTCTTGATAAACAATGCTTCCTGGTGGAAACAAAATGTATAAAGATTTGAAGGAGATATATTGATGGAATAATATGAAGAGAGATATTAGCAAATATGTTTTAGAGTGTGAAATATGTCAGCAAGTAAAAACAGAGCATTAGAGACTAGTCAGATTAACTCAGAATCTCGACATACCAATGTCGAAGTGGATGAAAATTTTAACAGATTTTGTCACATGGTTACCAAGACCTGCGAGAGGTAACAACACTATATGGGTTATAGTGGACCGTCTGACTAAGTTGACTCACTTATTGTCGAAAAGTAGTTAGGCTTCATGGTGTTCCAGTGGAGATAGTATCTGATAGAGATCATTCATATCGGAGTATTAGAATGGTGTGCGCAAAGTTCTTCAAAGTAAACTCTGTTTTAGCTCAGCAAATCACCCAAAAATGGATGGTTAATTAGAGAGAATAATTCAAACTCTCGAGGATATGTTAATATGTCGTATCCTTTATTTAAAAGGATCATGGGAGGAGTATTTACCGTTGGCATAGTTTGTATATAATAATAGTTGCCAAGCAAGTATTAAGATGGCACTATATGAGGCTCTATATGGAAGGAAATGTCATTCCCCTATACACTGGGATGATGTTGGAGAAAGAAAATTTCTTGGACCTAACTTAGTGCAACAAGCTATAGACAAGATTTACTTGGTAAGATAGCATATTCGAAATGCACATAGTAAAAAGAAGAGTTATGCTAAATAGAGGAAGAGAGTCTTAGAATTTTAAGAAGGTGATCATGTATTTTTAAAGGTGTCTTGTAGAAGAGGTGTGAAAAGATTTAGAATCCGAGGAAAGCTGAGTACAAGAATTGTGGGACCGTTTGAAATTCTTCGGTGTGGTGGTGAAGTTGCTTATAGGCTTGCTTTACCACCTTCTTTGGCTGGAGTCCACAATATATTTCATGTATCTATGCTAAGAAAATTTATTCGAGACCTAGATCAAGTTATAGTACTGGAACCCATTGAGCTAAGGAAGACTTAACATATGAGGAGCAACCAAAATGTATTGTAGATCATAAGAAACAAATACTTAAGAGACGTATTATTCGATATGTGAAGGTTCAATGGAAGAATCACTCTACAAGAGAAGCAATATTAGAGCTTGAAAATGAGGTGCAACGGAAGTATCCTCAACTTTTTCAGAACCAAGATACGTAATGTTTCGAGGACGAAACTTTATTTAAGATGGGGGAGGATGTAGAGTACCATTTTTTAAGTTAATGAAGAGTTTCATAACTATAGGTAGTAAATTGGATTATTGTATTGTTGTAAGTATAATTAATATGAGAGTTTAGAAATCCAAAAGGTATGGAAACTTAAAAGAAAAACCCCCACAAATCAAATGATCTTCATTTGACAAAGAAAAAGAAACGAAAAGAAAAAGTAAGCAGATCATAGAGAGTGAAAGAGAAAGGAGATTAAGCTTCAAAGGTTAGTGAAAACTTTTTACTTATGTTTTATGTGTTAGTTTATAGGTAAAAAATATTAACTTTTTCTGGCCATCGGCGTCATCTCCGGCGACATCTGATGAACTCCAACTATCCATGGTCCTGGGTTTCACCGGTGATGATCATTATGGCTGCCGAACCCAACAAATCCTTGGATGCTGGTGTAAACAAAATAGACGAGAGAAGAGAAAGAAGAAAAGGAAAATTATTGTTAGACCCCTAGAAATACAAAAAATAGTTTTGAGTCCAGAATCTTTGAAAAGGTGAGTTTGTATAAAATCTAATTAATGGAAATATTTTCAGACCCATTAAACTAGAAAAGTTGATGTTAGGCCAAAGCTCTATTTAAAAAGGGTAGAAATAAATTTCATAAAAAATCCCCTAGAAACTAAAAATATTAGTTTTATACCCAAAATAATTTATGTTTAGAAATCTTTAGTATTTATGCATCTTGTATGCTTATAGATTTGATTGAGTAGTAGGTTCTTGGAGTACAGTTCTCTAAATTGTTAAAAAAAAACTATTGAGGTGTGTAGATTTCTTATCATTGGTTATTTTCTATTATATATTATTTAAATCATAATTTTTATTTTGTGTAGAGAAATTAGGGATTAGACATGTTATTTTGTTCATTTATAGTAATTGTTAACAATTTGAATGTGATAACTATTTATCTTTTACAATATAAATATCGTTTCGTATATGAGATTATTAAAAATATATCATTTCAAATTTACTGTTCAAATGCATTATTTAAAGATTTTTATTGGACAAAAAATGTATTTATCTGTTTAGATTCATAAATATTCTATTTTCATGAGATTGATGTGAGAAAAGTTTGCAAAAGTGTTTAAGCATTTATATTGCATTTCGTACAAGTGGAAATTGTGAGCAATAGTTTGAGCAAAAAGAAAAGTGTTTTAAATGTTAAAAATCCTCAGAAGTCCGCTATGAAGTGAAGTGATTTGTTTATGTCTACCATATAGTATTGAATGTATAAAGTGCTCCTTTTGGCAAAAGTGATGTGGCCTTCGGGCAACCTATGGTAGTGGTAGGTACATTCTGTCCCCGGGTTGACCTATAGTGATTCGATGCGCATTCCATGCTACTGGGCTATAATTTTCATAGCCTTAGTGTGACAACTTAGAAAGTTTTGCAAGTGTCAATTTAGACCGATAATTACAGTTTTAAAAGTATTTAGTATTCATTCATATTGTTTCTTAAATTTGTGAATAATTCTTTTATGACCATGTCACATGCTATTCTTGGAAATTCCTCTTATTAAAACTATTATGTGTTTCTCAATCGTTCTTTTTTTACAATAGCTTATTTGAGTTTTAGTATTGATAATTTCTTAAACTTGTCTGATCCGCTGCTCATTGAGTGTTAAACTAACCCCGTTGTTTTTAAATCTTTTTCAGATGAAATTAAATAGCTTTGTCTAAACCTTGGAGCTTTGGAACATGAGAAGAATCATTTAGAATGTTTGATGTTGAAAGATATAGTTATACTAGTCATGCTACTATGTTTATGTAATAAGAGCCTTTGACTCATTATAGTGAACTTGTTATAATGTAGTTTTTGCTCTGAGACTTCTATTTGTCAATAAAGTTTCTTTTAAGTGAAATTTATTTGTAATATAGAAGTGAACAGCAGGTTTAGCATGTGGTTTTTGCACGTGTTATTGTTGTCATGCATATCAAAATTAGCTGTGCATTTTGGGGGCGTGACAAAGTTGCTCTATACACTATAAATCTTTAGTGAAGTTGACGTGATATAATATGCATAATAATTGTCCTTTATCCCGATTTTGAGAGTTCGCGCACTCCGATAACCACTGCCATTAACTTATATCGTCAGACACCCAACACTCCAGTTTATATATAAAGTTGTAGAAGCACGTATGATCAGACTAATACCAGTATTTCTCTAGCCAAACAATCAGTAAGAATAAACATGAATACCACTGATAATATCTTGCACAAGAATAAAGAATCAGGCCAGAGACTCTAAAGTCAATATTTGTGTTATCATATGATATTATCAACAACATGACATTCACACACTAGAACACGATCACACTTACGAGCTTTAGACCACAGACATTTTCCTTTCGCCTATACCGGATGATGATATCTAGTTTGCATCACAAGCACACTAGTAACTATAACGTGAAAGGAGTATAAACAGAGAGCAATTGTCAGAGTCATTCAATTATCCATTGTGAGTCTCTTAACTATTTAGCATAGGTGTCTTAATCATCTAATGGTTCCTATCATAAATAGGATTGCTATTAATCTGGTAGCGGACTGATTGCGGAACATCTCACGTGTAGGATGAAACTATGACTTATGGTCAATCAGTCCAACAATTTTCCACAACTATCAAGCACCAACGGGTCTACGATGGTCTATGATGAGTCTCTTAATGGTTCCTATCACACTATTATGGACTTCACAACAGTCCTAGAATAAGTCTATGATGGTCTAGACGAGTGAAAATGATCATCGGATACAGCAAATGTCTGATCCGGATAGTTTCATGTCAACCAAAAAACAATAGTCTACTGAAACATTTAGGGAAATGGCTGCCACAGTTTTCTTGTACATTCCTCTACCTCATTGCACGTTTCCTATTTAAACCATCTACCAGACCAAGCCTCAGTAGTGGGTGCACTACCACAAAATAGGTCTACGAGGACGGTTCGGTGGGGACGGTTTTAAACCGTCCCCTTAGCTGTCTAAGGGAACAGTTTTGTGACGGTTCCAATCGTCACAATAGAATCTAAGACAACGCTTTAAAATCAAGCGTTGAGTTTGAATTAGGCTTGGGGCTAAATTATGCAAGGAGCTAGGGGGACGGATCCCGCACATTTTCATTTCTGATTTTAAGACCGAGCGCCACAATTTCCCCCCTAAATTTTCATTTGACCGCTCCGTAAAAACCCTAAAACCCATTCAAATCCCCAATTCTTCATTCAGCCATCTCCCAATCTCCTCCTTTGCGTCTCATCCTCCTCCGCTCGAACTTCCCACACATCTCCACGCCGACCTCGATGGTGTCGAGATCCCTCCGGATCAGCAGCGGCTCATTTTCGTAGGAAAGCAGGTCGAGGATGGCCGGACCCTGGCCGATTACAACATCCAGAAGTAGTTGACGCTCCACCTCATCCTCCGCCTCCGCGGTGGCGCCAAGAAGAGGAAGAAGAAGACCTACACCAGGACCAAGAAGATCAACGCTCCGTTCTCCCCCAATGTTTGTTGTTTCCCCCCTCTTACTGAAATTGTTATTTTTATTTCGATGTGTTCGATTAGGGGCAGATTTGTTGAAGATCTATTGTAGGGAGCAGCTGGATTAGGGTTTTGTTGCTCTCTGAAACTTTGCCCAAATTGAGTGAAGATAGAGGAGAGCTTACCAATGAATCATAATCAAGGGGATGAAGCGAGGTCTCTTGTTGTTGCGATTGAGGACGACCCTTTGGCCGAAGTGGGTCAGTCCTCTTCGAAGAGCCATGCCCGAGATGCTCACATATTAAGTTTATCTTTATTCTTCATCTTCTGTGCTTACGGTGCTGCTCAGAATCTCGAGAGCACTGTCAACACCGTGAGCCCCTCTGCTCTGTCCTTTGATTGATCACGAATTGGTCCGTGTTGATTGTTGTTTTTTGTTTGTGGGAGATCACAGAAGGGGGACCTTGGAACAACGTTGATGGGGATACTTTACACTTCGTTCACTCTGTTCTCAGTGGTGGCTTCGCCAGTTGTGAGGGGCTTGGGGACGAAGCGGGCTCTGGTTTTGGGTACCCTATGAATACATGACAAGGTAAATCCTCAAATTTAGATAATTTTTTTCATAATCTTGTTGAAATTAGAACGTTGTTTGTGCATAGACTTTTAGAATTATTCTATTTCAATTAGCTTTTGGATGGATTTTCCTAAAGCAGGTTCCCAACTAACACCAGTGGAAAGATTATTGTCCAATAGTCTTCAGGTTTGTAGTATAATGATATTATCTATGTCTTTAGAATAGTTTTGGGTAAAACAACTCATTTATGCCATGTTATACAACTCACTGCCCAAGTGGTAGGAAAGATTCCATCATGTTTTTGTACTGTAAAAAGCAAAGTAAATGAAAAATCTACAATTTTATTACACAGGATTTTCTTGATACCATGACTAAGAATAGGCTGCTTTCTTCTATGCTTAGAGATTTAGAATCTAATCTGAACACAAGCCTAAAATGCTTTTGGCTTCTCATCAATGAGGGAAATAAATGAAAAATATCACATAATTGTTGAAATATACAGTAAAAGACTAAATGGTTTCCTTTATTGATTTCTCTTATATTACAGAAAGAGAAAAATGAAGTATTTCACCTGAGCATGTGGTTTTTCACTGGTAATGCTAATTTAAGCCTCCTGGACTTAGCTGTATAGTGTTCTTCAAGTGGCAGGGGGAAATGAAGTGCAGAGAAACAATTCTTGATATGTGGAGAAGGGGCTAGTAATTGGTACCTGACAGTTACAAAATTGATAAGTTTTTTCAGGATACTTATTCAATGTTCATTTTAGTCCTTACCAAATTTTAGCTAGTGGAGGAACTTGGAGAAGACAAGGTAAAGGAACTCACTTCAAATTAGTGTTATCAGGACACTTCACCTTACAAAATTTTTGCCATGTTGGATACTTGGAAAACACATGACACTCAAACACCCATATCCTATGATCCAGACACTTTTCACGCCATATGGAAAAGAAAAATAGGATGCTCTGTATTTAACGATTGGGAAGATTTAAGAAGAACATCTATTAATGGATATACAGGGGAAGAATTGAAAGAAATGGTTAAAAATATTATATTACTTTCACAATAATCCAAGTCACTTTTTGTTCCTACATCAATATCTCAAATTGGTAAACAAAAAGTTCTAATAGTGCATGTTGCACCTCTAAGCGTGCAATCAACAAATATGCTTCACAGCAAGCACTCTTCTCTACATTATTTGTTTCACGCATGTTTTCAAGAAGCTTGGTGGTATTATGATCATCAGAATGTTGCTGTTATATTTTATTCTTGACCTGATCAGCTTCTGGTTCTTTTTGCTACTAGAAGCACTGTATCCTATATTTTGGTCAGTTCAAATGCTTTTGAAACATAATATGCCGTAAGACACATCTTTCTATACTGAAATAGTTCTTATTTATGCTTTTCCAAGCTTTAAACTTCAAAATCAGATATTTCTTATTTTTATGCTTTTGCTGTTTTGCTAGAGCTCATGAAGTTGTGTTTGCAAATGTTTAGTCTGACTATGTATATACTTTTTTTGCTACTTAAGAATTATATCCTATATTTCTGTCAGTTTGTATGGTTTTGGAACAATATATGCCTTAAACACATCTTTCTGTTGTAACTGTTCTTATTTTATGCTATTGCGAGCTATAAACTTCAAAATCAGTTAGTTCTTTTGTTTGAGAGTTCTACATGCTGTAGATTAAGATCAATAGAGTTGATATTCAGTTTGTATGATCCATCTAAAAGTGCGCATTGTTCAGGGACCCCCCCACTAAGAATTATATCCTATATTTCTGTCAGTTTGTATGGTTTTGGAACAATATATGCCTTAAACACATCTTTCTGTTGTAACTGTTCTTATTTTATGCTATTACGAGCTATAAACTTCAAAATCAGTTAGTTCTTTTGTTTGAGAGTTCTACATGCTGTAGATTAAGATCAATAGAGTTGATATTCAGTTTGTATGATCCATCTAAAAGTGCGCATTGTTCAGGGACCCCCCCACATTCTTCTGGGAAAGAAAACTTTTACAACCTGATTTTTCCTCAGGAACTCGATTATTTCTTTCGTCCCTGCATCTCCAAAGACAAGATCTTGCTCGAGTTGTCCAACATCCCTAAGTCCTAACTCTTTAATTATTTTGTTAATTTTTCCTGCAATCTGGATTCATACATATGGTGAACCAGACACAATGTTAGTATAAATTTATTTCTCACAGCTAGCTTGAGCAGCAATATACTATACTACACTGGGTGATAAGTGATAACAGTATAAATGTATTTTGTATATGTTGATTCTTTCTTCTATACTTTGAAAATATAAGCTGATAAAATCTATTGAAGCAGTGAAATAGACACGGAACAGCAGTGCTGCTAATGGTTTGGTTGTTTTTTAAATCCACGTTCCTTCTATATGTGTAGAAAACAAGTGAGACCAACAAAGCAAATCGTGAAGGTCTAGAATATGTGCACACTACGGGGACAATAAGTTTTGTGAGGATTCGCAAAAAAATGGTATTTAAAATTTTTTTAGTGTTACTTATTAACTGCATCCTTTCTTTTTGTTTGTTTTTAATGTATTTATCAATATTTTAACTATCATGTCTTTATTATAGGAAAATGAGTTGGGAAGACCTCCAAGTGAAGCTGAAATGTTTATTGAGACCCGTAAAAAGAAGATAAATCCACAAGGAGAGAAAACAATCAATTTGATAGTAAGTATGTGCCATATTCCCTAAATATTAATATTCATATATTGCTTTTTAGGTCCTAATTTTCATATAACATGCATAGCAACTAAATATAAATTTTGCTAATGCAGGGTGCTTTAGAAGAACTCAAATCTCAAGATGAAGCTGATGATGCATGGGATTTAGTCAAGAAAGATGAACATCCTGGACGTGTACGTCTTAGGGGGAGGGGTGTCACTAAAACCATGCTCCAAAATAAAAATAAAAAGATCATGGATCCCTCTGAGCAAGTTCCAGAATCTGTTGTTCAAACTATATCACAAAAAGTTGAGCAAGAGTTGACAAAAAAGTTTGAAGAGCAGAAGGCAGATTTGGTTCATGGTTTCGCCGAGCTCTTGACTGAAATACTTGGGCAAACAATTGATCCGGCGGCTATTGCAAGGCTTATTGCACGCACAAGATCACCTGAGCAAGGTGGTAGTGCTCGAAATCATGATCATCCTCGCTCATCTGCAAGCAGCCATCAGCCACGAAATGAGGTAGTTTTTTCTTTTGTTATATCTTTCTTTTTCTTTTTTGTGTATTATGACAACTTGATTTGGATTGGTTGCTTCTTAGTTCGCCCGAAATGAGGTGTTATATACCTAAATATGATCGTCATGCAATAAGTTATGACTCTAAAGAGACACATACAGTCCATTTCATGCAATAAGTTATGACTCTAATGACCTTTATCCTTCTATCATCCGTGTCTCTTCTATTCTACTTGTGCTTACTCTTAATTTCATTATATACCTAAATATGATCGTCATGCAATAAGTTATGACTCTAAAGAGACGCATACAGTCCATTTCATTCTACTTGTGCTTACTCATCTTTTTATCTTGATGTACGCAGGAAAACATCTGAAGATCCATGCTTGTCGCTCTTTGGGGGATTTATTTGTTGTGAAGATTTAGAACTTAATCGTCTCAATAGAGACATTTTGACCTTTTGATTAAGTAGTAGCTCTTTGTTTTAATCATGGAGGATTTGTGATATGTGCTTAATTTGGTAAGTTTGTGTGTAAAACTTGTGAAGAATTATCTCAATCCTATTGCTATAATATTGTTCTTCGTTGTAATGAATTGTTCATTATATTAAGGCTAAAGTTTGGTTAGTTTGTGTGTAAAACTTGGACTATTGTTTCTTTGTATGTGATGGACTGATGTGTGATATCTGAGTGATTTGTTTTGATCAGTAAAAAATGAAAACCGTCCCCTTTGGTATAAAAAACATCCTCATAGATCACAAACAAAACCGTTCCCATAGACAATATAACTGTCCTCTTAGGTCAAGCTCGAAATCGTACCCCTTGGTATAAAAACCGTCCTTATAGAAACCGTTCCCCTTGCTATCAAATTGTTCCCATTGCTTAGAACCTAAAAACCGTTCCCCTTGCTATCAAACCGTTCCCGTTGCTTAGAACCTAAAAACCGTTCCCCTTGATATACAACCGTTCCACTTGCTCTAAACTAAGAACCGACCCCTTAGCACAACCGTTCCCTTATGGTACTGTTGGGGAGGGTTTACAAATCGTTGCACTAGGAGCATAAACCGTCCCATTAGACCTACGGGCACGGCTGCAAACGAGACGGATGTAGAACCGTCCCCATAGGCCTAGTGTGACGGTTTCCATGCCTAGGGTGACGGTTCACAACCGTCCCCATAGGCCTCAAATGTGGTAGTGTCATCTTCTTGGAGAGGAAATTTCCCCTCTAATGAATGTCCCAGTTCTCAACCAGTCACTAGCAATTTTGTGCTTTCTGTTTAGGCTTGAATCGCGGTAAGTTGACCAAGATTATAGAGTAAGTTGCGATGTATATGAATTCCTACGTGTTGGAAACTTCAAAAAACGGAAATAGCGTACGATGTAAGTACAAAAATATTTTCCCGTTATCATCCTAAGTATCATAAGAATTAGAAGATGTATCCATGAGATTTGATTGTCTCCTCTGATATGCAAGGATTTATAAGTTTATTATTAGGGCTTTTTGTTTTTAGGTCCATTTGTTTACCTAACTTTATCTTTAAACCCAAGTATTATTAGTTGTATCTTTAAACCCAACATTTTTTTTGTATTTATCTTTAAACCCAATTTCCTTATATAGGGGGACCCACATATGAGAGTATTATATTTTGGAATTGGGTTTAAAGATAAATACAAAAAGAGAGTTGGGTTTAAAAATACACCTAATAATTCTTGGGTTTAAAGATAAAGCTAGGTAAACAAATGGACTTAAAAACAAAAAGCCCTTATTATTATCTATATACGTCAGATACAAGTAGGAAAGTGACTTAGCAACCAATCCCTCATAGATAGTACTACGAACAAGAACTTATATATGTTATCTTACTTGCCTCGTGACAAATGAGAGCTACTATATATATATGATTACGTGATGATCGATATTAAATTTCAAATGCTAATCAATCCTGAAATCAAGCCAGCTGGCATTCAAATGACAGAAGACAGAACATGATTCTGCCTGAGATACCCCTTATCTCTTTTGAGCAACCCCCTGTTTAACTTTACCAGAATATGATATAGGAATTAAAATAATACATGTGGGGATTAACAAAAAAACCCGTGTATATGTTTTTACTATTTTCATGACAAGGACGTGCCTTGAAGATCATGTCTCTTTGCACATGATGAAAGCCCAAAAGAATTACAAATGCCAACTTATTTCATCGAGCACAGGTCGATCGTCCCCCTTCTACTCTATATGGGACAAAGTTCTTATCTTATCAACAAAGAAGAAAAACTTTATGTTCTAGTGCATCTTTACATTGTAGGAGTGGTTGATGCATTTTTCTTAACGGGTCTAATCCGCTACCTCGAAAGACTAAACCCCGCTCCACCTCGGTCTGCCCATCACATCTAGGGGTGACAAAAAATGATTTTATCCGTATTCTATTTGTATTCATTACGATGCGAATATGGTTACTAAATCATTATCCTACACATACAGATATGTAGTGAAATTTTTGGATTTATATCTGAAATATCTCAATGTATATTGAGCATACAAGTGTAGTTGTTTTAATTCTTAGATTAACGGATCTAAGGTTGATTTTGATGATCCAAAGATTTAATCCTGACCTCAAACTCATTAACTTGAAGGGGGGGAATTTTGTCTTATTTAGAGCAAGAGAGGTTGTTTTAATCCTTAGATTAACAGAGAAGTCCAGTGCATGAAGAATAAGCTGTCTTTTATCACAATTAATTCTCACAAGCTAGGCATCAGTAGCTTAGACATCTACCTCAAGCACCCTGCACAAGCCACCGCGGGAATTGTCCTACTCTCAAAGAACAAATGTCACTTCCGGCGACACACGTCACTCCTAACTTTGCCTTTGATAGGAGTAGCGGAAGGAAGAAGGGGGTTGAAAAATGTGAACCTGCAGCTGAGAAGGGATTCAAAGCAAGAGAGGACTAAATCTAATTTGAGTTAGAATGCCGAAGTGGTGCTTCAAACCTATGGTTGTTGACATAATTAGCTTTGAGGCCAATTGCTGAGAATCAGCCCACAATGCGGAAGTTTTGTTTAGGATATTGTTTGCGTCGAAAGTTACTGTTTTCATTGCTATCGAATCTATTACAACTTTAGTCATTACAATAAACTCGAATAAAATAAAAAAAGTTAATCTTTTTATAAGATCTCCTTACACAATGAAAATAAAACAAGTTTACAACTTTATCAAACAAGTTTTGTACTGCGCTTGCGCGGGTCGGATCAGACCGACCTACACTTGCGCGGGTCGGAACCCGAAACGAGTTTTGACGATTTTGATGCTGTTTTTGCAGGATTTATCTGTTCCAGGGGTTTCTAACTGACTTGATATCATCCCCAAACATAGTTAGGTTGTTGTTAACTGAAGATAGAGCCAAATCACTTGTTCTCATCCAAATAACCGCTTCCGAAGCCCTATAAATACAAGGCTAGGGCCTCCTTTTAATGGGGGCGATTGATTATCAAGACGAGGAGGTACTGCCGGATTGTGGAGTCAAAGGAGCACAAATTTCAGCGAGGGTTGACAGATCTTGGCGAGTTCTTCGGCATAAAGAAGGATAGTTCGAGAGATCCGACGTCCGTTCCCGTCCGTCCCTTGAGATTAAGCTTGGTCTTAATCTCGAGAAGAGCCCTGATTTCGCTTGGTCGATCTCAGCGCTTCAAATCAAATACTTCCTCGGTGAAGACGAAGCTCTGCCAAATTTTTTATCAACCGGATCCAGATCAAAGGCAGTCCACGGATAAACCCCGACACAGGCAAAGATCCCACGTAAGCAGAAGACCGATAAACGATCTCCCTGCGTTTGTTTGATAAAGTTGTAACTTTTGTTTTCATTGTGTAAAGATCTTATTTTTTTATTTTATTCGAGTTTATTGTAATGACTAAAGTTGTAATAGATTCGATAGCAATGAAAACAGTAACTTTTGACGCAAACAAACTGACGACCACAGTGGGAGCCAACAGCCTCACTGCCGGAGCTATCGTGTCGCAACCTCAGATCTGCATCCCGGTTGAAGAAGTGGTCGAGTACGAGTTCGACCAACTGATGTTCGAGGAATATCTTTCGTCCTCCTCCTCCAGATCCTCCGCCTTCTCGCAATCGAAGGAAGATCAACGCCCCCGTTGTTGCGGTAGCTGAACCTTACAACGCCCTTCCGGCCTCCAATGAGTCTGGATTTGCAGATCTGAACTCCTCCTCAATCAAGGAGTTGAGTACAGAAGGGGCGCCTATTTTATCAAAGAGAACTCGTCAAAGGCAGCGCCAACGCTGTGCGCGCCAACTCGCTAGAGCCTTGGAGTCAATTGACGGGATTCGTTACGAGACGGATTTGAAAATTAGGCAACGCCAAGCACCCCAACAGCGGACAGATGTCCTCCCCTCCAAACCAATAGCAAATGAATGGATCCAAATCAAAAGAATCCGTTCAACTCTGGAGGAGCGAATTCAAAAGCGTCGCGCGCTTGCGCGCATGCGAATTCTTGTGCAAAAAGCACAAAATATGCAGAAGAAGGACATAGCTAAGAAACAACCAAGACTGCATCAAACTTGGAGACCAAAATCTAAAACGGCAGCCGAAAAGATCGAGAATCGCGGGTCACTTGAATCTGACCCGCCGGCGTGCGGGTCACTCCGATCCGACCCACCAATTTGTAGGTCACTTCAATCCGACCCGCTAATTTGCAGGTCACTTTAATCCGACCCGCCAAAACGCGGGTCACTCTAATCTGACCCGCCAATTTGCAGGTCACTCCAATCCGACCCGCCAAAACACAGGTCACTCCAATCCGACCCGCCAATTTGCAGGTCACTTCAATCCGACCCGTCAAAACGCAGGTCACTCCAATCCGACCCGCCAATTTGCAGGTCACTTGGATCCGACCTTCCAAATCGCAGGTCACTTGGATCCGACTTTCCAAATCGCAGGTCACTTGGATTCGACCCTCCACTTTGCAGGTCACTTGGATCCGACCTTCTAAATCGCAGGTCACTTGGATCCGACCCTCCACTTTGCGGGTCACTTGGATCCGACCCTCCACTTCGCGGGTCACTTGGATCCGACCTTCCAAATCGCGGGTCACTTGAATCCGACCCTCCAACCCGTCGGTCACTTAAATCTGACCCGCGCCAGGGTCGAGACAGAAGACATTTTGCACCGGTTACGTTGATCCCTTCGAGTTCCGCACCTCTGGTGGAACCCCACGACAACATGGATTTGTCCCGATTCAAGGTGAGGATAGTTGATCGCTTAGGTCCTTTGCACGAGGATCGAGGCAAAGTTTTCATCGAAGGACACTTGGGTCCGATGATTGAACCCCGAACGACTCGCCGAGCTGGGAGTCGCACATGCCCTCACAACAATTTCAAGCCTTCGTATAAAGGGAAAACTCCAGTTTTTACCCACCTGGGGGTGTGTATTAAAATCCAAGAGCACGTCAAAAGTTCACGCTTACAAATGCGTGACTCTAAACGCGTGACTCTTAAGAACGCCAACAAGGAGTTGCATACTCAGAACAAAACGCGTAAGATAAACGAACGCATTATACCTGAGGATTCATGTAAATAGTCGATAGGTTACTCCGACGGCAACGTCGATGAGTTGT